TAAAACTTCTAATAGATATTTACCCAAGTAGAAATGATCTAGGTCACCAAAGCTCTTTATAATGTGATATTTCCAAACAGCTTTACAGAGCTATTATGGTTGCATCAGTTTTAGCAGTGAAATTAAATATAATGAATTATAAACAAGTATTACTTCTACTTAGAACAAATTTAGATTACGTTGTAGCTCTTGAAAACAATGTTTTTAAGGATGGCTTTCAAATTGCATGGCTACTCCTAGGAGTGATTTAGCTGTGCTACTTGTTTGTAACACAGCTAAACCAGTAGATTTTTGTAAGCTATACAGTTAGAGACCAAGCTGTTCCAGCTTTAGATATTGAAAATGCCCACCCCCCCTGCCTCTTCCTCCTGTTAATTGAAAGAATATAGGAAGTCTTACTAAGTGTCAGTGAGTTTAGGAGTAAAACTGTCATTTTCACCTAATATATATTTAGTGTGCAATTAGGTGACAACTTGGGTTTTTTGGTTAGAAGCATCAGTATTCTTAACCAGGTGTGTTCTAAACACACATTTGGCTGAACGTAAGTGTTGTAGAAAACCAAGCCTTTTAAAGAAATTTGCCCAAGTTAACAACCTAAGAAAAACAAGATGATGTTTTGATGTTACTGCATAATAGAATCATGATATAGTGCCTGTAGTAGTGGGAATTCAAACTGTCCCAAGTCCCTCCCAGGCCTGTGTGCTGATGCAGAATGAGAAGTAGGAAAGACAGTCTTGTTAGCTGATGAATTCTGTTTTCTACAGATGTCTTTGTGAATGAGATTTTGAGGTTTTCATAGGTAATGCTTTTCTGCAGAGCTTCATTGTAGTGATGGCATATGGGCTGATCTTTTTTTAAGATTTATTTAATATCTACAGCCTTGTACTGACGTATGAGAGAAAAAATGGTGGAAACCCCTTCTATTTCTGTCCTGATTTTCTCCTTCTTCCCCTTTGGGACATTGCTATATGCAAAACAAAAAATAATGCAAAAATTAATACAAAGTTGTTTGTTTAACTAAGGAATCCAAATCGAGTCACCGTGGGCAACTGTGCAAAGCAGCGTTTGCAATCCATTAGTAGAGGAGCTTTTCTTAGTGTTACTTTCTTAATATATCTGATTTAGTTTAGCTGCCCTACACAAGCAAATGTGGATTTTTTTCCAGTTGGAGTTACAGTGCTTCATAATCTGCTGTACAAAACAAATTTAATCTCATAACAGTGAATATTTTAAAAATACTTTGTTACTACTCTAACAGATAGAGGCATCTTCTGGTTCCAGAGAAAAAAGGAGAGAACAATGAGAATACTTTTTTTAGTAAATGACAGTTGTTTGAAGAATGCAAACACTGATAGTAATAGCTGTTGGTAAATTCTTCTCTCACAGAGGTTTAAACTTATATGTCACTTTTGTTGTAATTCTGTTTCTACTATTGCTTTCATTACCTTTTTTTCCACCAAGATCCATTCTTTTTCACCCTTTCATGATACACATAGCTTTTTCCCCTCTCTTTACAATGGTATTCTGTTATAGCATGTCAAACTCTCTGCTTTTTTGAGCAGAGAATCTAAAATCCCACTGCTTCTGCTGGAGCATCACATCTGTAGGGATGATGCATAAACTCTATTCCAGTTCATTTTTTAGGCAGCAAGAAGCATAGATGTTTAGGAGTCTGTGTTTTTTCCTGAAACATTAATCAGGATACTCAAGTCTTTCCAAATGGTAGTCATCCTTGAGTGGACCAATTCATTTTTCTGAGAGTAATAGGAGTATAGTCTCTCCTTTGTAGGAGTTCTCACTTCTGGTGAAGTAAAAACCTTGTTTTCACTGCTGAAGGAGCAGAGCACCCTGTTCTGGACACAGCTAATCTCCTCTCCTTTGCTGCACACTTTGTGTTAGTTGTTGAGACTGTAGAGTGGCAGAAGAAGTCTAAAAGAGGACTGTAGCATGATCTAGTGTTTTCTTTAAATATAAATCACATAGAGTTCAACAAATCCAGCACACCACTGAATGTGAAAGCCTTCACTGTAATCTGAGAGCAAATGTTTATTTTGTGCATTTGGGTTGGTCTTCTAAAAAGTGTACACTCTACAGTGCTATTAAAAGTTTTTAAAAAAAAGGAACAAGAATTGCACACTCCTTAGTCATGTCCTACTTTTTAAGGACTAATTTAGATATTAATGAAAGTAAACCAAACCCCCTTGTTTAACAGCAGTGTAAGTGAAAAGCAAATACAGTGTAAACTGTGTTCATTAACAGTAATTGAAATTGCATTGAAGAGCAGGGAAAAATGATTCATTTCTCAACTGGTGGTGAAACTGTTTTACCTGATTGCATATCAATGGGACAAAATGAGAATGTTATAAGTGTGTGGGCTTTAAGTGGAGCAAGCTGCCAATAAAGTTGCACTGAAGGAGTCTGCCTCTAGAACCTGTTTGTTCTCCCTGTAACCTTAATGCTTTTTATCATCCCTGTTTTTTCCAATTTATTTTCTCCGCCTTAGTGTCTTTGCATTTAATTCTTTCTCTTCCCTCTTATGCAAATAAAGGCAACCTCCTGTCTTGGTGCAGGAAATCAGGGCTCTATAGATGTTGTTTCTGTGTAATCTTATGTAAAGCTCTCTGTAACACCCCCCTACTTTTTTTTTTTTTTTTTTCTAAAGTACAGCTTGTATTCAGCTGGGATGTTGTCTCTTAATATTTAAGAATCAGCTATTCAGGATATGGAGTGTAGAAAGACAATTTATGCCTTTTTTGCCTTGTCTTTGCAAGCTACAACACTATGTCATTACAAATATCTTTGCTTGGTATTAAGGTAATATTTGTGTTTCCAAGCCAAAGGGGAAATATACAGTAGTCTGTACAGCAGGAAAGGATGTAGCTAAAAAAACTCTACTGTCTATTACTTTATCATTACCGCAGCTATGTATGAAGGACTACAACACTGGAAAATGGCCTATTGTCCAGCAGGGGGAAAATAATGAAAAAAAAAAAAAACCCAACCCCCAACAGTCAGCCTAAAGAAACTGATATTTCTTGTGTCCCCGTCACAAATTTATCAATTTGTCAAGTTTCAGGTTAATAGCAAATGAAATATTTATGCTGATAGTTTCATTTTAGTGTGTGTGTTTAGTGAGTGTGGTGAGGAGAAAATCATGACCCTGTTTTCTGCAAGTGAAAGGTTTTATTTCAGTCAGAGTAATTTGGCACAGTGAATCAATGTTGTGATTGAATATAATCAGTAGCATAGAATCATAGAATCATTTGCTTGGAAAAGACCTTTAAGATCATTGAGTCCAACTGTACCTGTCCACTACTAAACCATGTCTCTAAGCACCACATGTACCTCTCTTTTAAATACCTCCAGGGATGGGGAGTCAGCCACTTTCCTGGGTAGCCCATTCCAGTGCCTGATAACCCTTTCAGTGAAGAAATTTTTCCTAATCTCTAATTGAAAGATCCCCTGGTGCAAATGCCTTGAGGCTATTTCCTCCTGTCCTATCACTTGTTACTTGGGAGAAGAGATCAACACCCACCTCACTACAGCCTCCTTTCAGGTACTTGTAGAGGGCGAGAAGGTCTCCCCTCAGCCTCCTCCAGGCTAAACAACCCCAGTTCCCTCAGCCGCTCCTCATCAGACTTGTGCTCCAGACCCTTCACCAGCTTTGTTGCCCTTCTCTGGACACACTCCAGTGCCTCAATGTCCTCTTGTAGTGAGGGGCCCAAAAATGAACACAGTATTGGCTTCACCAGTGACGAGTACAGGGGACGGGTGACTTCCCTGGTCCTGCTGGCCACACTATTCGTGATAGAAGCCAGGATGCCGTTGGCCCTCTTGGCCACCGGGGCACACTGTTGGCTCATACGCAGTTGTCTGTCAACCAGTACCCCAGATCCCGCTCTGCCAAGCAACTTTCTAGCCATTCTTCCCCAAGCCAGTAGCGTGGCATGGGATTGTTGTAACGCAAGTGCAGGACCTGGCACTTGGCCTTCTTGAACCTCATACAATTGGCTTTGGCCCATGGATCTAGCCTGTCCAGGTCCCTCTGCAGAGCCTTCCTACCCTTAAGCAGATCAACACTACCACCCAGTTTGGTGTCATCTGCAAACTTACTGAGGGTGCACTCAATCCCCTCATCCAGGTCATTGATAAAGATGTTAAACAGAAGTGGCCCCAGCACTGAGCCCTGGGGAACACCACTTGTGACCACCCTCCAACTGGATTTAACTCCATTCACCACCACCCTTTGGGCCCACACATCCAGCCATTTTTTTACCTAGCAAAGAGTATGCTTGTCCAGGCCATGGGCAGCCAGTTTCTCAAGCAGAATGCTCTGGTAAACAGTGTCAAAAGTAGTCTTCATTTGGGAGAAAGCATCTCCTCTCATACTAAGGAAGATCTTGGAAAGAAAATTAGCTTTCATTATACGTTTTGATTCTTTTCAGTTTACATCTCTGTAACTTTTATAGTGCAACTAGCATGCCTTTTGAAACCTGAGTTTATTAAAAAGGTGTGCAAAAGTAGCCAAGCTCATCTTTAGGCCCTAAGACATTCATGCAGTTGAGTTCTTAGACTAATGCCTAGTACTGTAATTTACTGTTGGTTTTATAATCATTTATGGTTTTGTTTAAGATAGTTCAAGGTAGCATGTATTTTCTGTATTTAGCATATTACAGTTAGGAAAATTCTTGAAGCTCAATTTCAGGATGCAGCTTTGCTTTAGCAAGCTGCAGAAATTGCATGATCTATTTAAAGCTAGATTTACTTACATGCTGGCACATATCAGAAGAAATAATGTTCTTCTGATGCAAGTACAATAAGCTATGGAATATTATAGTGTGCTCTCATTGCATTTTTTTTTCCTATTCCATTTCTATTATTCCAAAGAAAGCTTGTTTTTAATTTTCAGTTTGGAGGAGGGGAGTCATTGCTGCTGTATTCCAGGCTTTGATTTTTTTTTTCTTGTTGTGCTAAGTGCTCTTTGTTTTTAAAATGTGTAGGGCTCACTATCCTGGAACAAAAACAGTGCCAAATGCCTTATTAACTAAGAAGAAGCTGTGGTCTTCAGAAGATTACAGTACTTTCAATGATGAAGTAGGTGCAGGCTGCTGGGCTCGGATCCTGAACCAAAACTATGTGAATGGGAACATGACCTCGTAAGTGTTGTGCACTGTTGCTCGCTTTCACGACTTCATATGAAAGAATTGTTTAAAGTGCTAGATATACACATCCGCTATGGTAAGATAGTAGGTAAACTGAAACTCTCTCCGTGGTCAGTCTGAATTTTGAGCACCTTTTTGTGGGGTTTCAGGATCTCTTCTGAAATGCATATATAGTGTGATAAATCTATGGTAATGACTTTAGAATGAGGCCTTTGCATTCACCTATATGCAATAGCAGAATAGCATGCCAGCTTTTGCTTTCTACATAACTCTTTTATTACACTGTATTTCTGTACTTATGGCACACAGTCTTAAGTTTAAAGTCCTAGCAAAAGATTGTCACTGAAAACCAAATCAAAAGACCTGAAGTAATTAACCTTGTGAAACAACTTCCTGAAATAGCAACAACGCCTGGAGGATGGCTGGCTAGAGATTTTCTGTTAGTTATTTATATGGGTAAAGGAAGGAATATTTTTTTTAGTGGTACTTAACTGCTCCTCCAAGTCTGCC